GCAAAATATACTCGACAAGTCAGTAAATAATGAGGAACATTTTTCTTGAAACAGATTAAGAGTGTATCAAGAACTTTATTTACACTTTCTGTTTACCAATATAGCAGTATAAAGTACCACGTTTTAAATATTAGATAGCAGCTAACTCTTCTACCCTCCCTTTTAGTACAAAGTGTGGGCCCTATCACGAATTCCTCATCTGTTTTGGTGAACAAAATTCTGCTGACTTGCAAAACCATTCACCCACTTATGTAGTTGTTTGAATAATGCAATATTTGGAATTTTAAAAAGAAATCCGCATTCATTTTAATTAATGTGGATAACAACGAATATGTTCACTCATTTTTCAAACAATTTTCAAGTTGTTTTATATTTTTATATTTTATTGGAACAATGGAGTATAATGTATTCTAAATTAAAAACGTTGTGTTGGTAGTACAGCAATATTCACTCAATGAAGCAATGCAAAACGCGGAGTAAAACGCAAATGCGCATGTGCACATAGATTCATCTACACGTATATCAATCTAAAAGAATATACTGCGATATTTATTGCTTGAACTAGGTTTTCATTTTAAAATACCAAATTGTGTTATCAGAATGCGTTTTTTGAGCACAATTATTAGAAAATACTCAAATAAGCAAGTCATTGAAAATTACACAGTCTTCGTTAAATTGTTGAAAGTTCTCTTTGTGCTCATCATATTAAAACGGAGGGGTTGTTGCAAGCGTGTCCTTGAAACTTGAGTTCCAAGTGGCGTATACAACAGATTGTTTATTTACATCAAAACCCTTGTTCCGTGTAGTAGTAATATGGCCAAAAATAAAAACAGCCGTTATTCGGCCATCTTTGATCTGATTATGAAACACACTGATATGTATGATGTATGTGCCAAATACGAATGAAAATGATACATAAATAGTGGAAATATAGTAGTAAGACCAAAAAGTCAGATGGCTGTCAATCGGCCATCTTTGACCAGATTTTGAAACAAATTGTCATGGACATGCATCCTAACATGTATAAAGTACATGTATGTGCCAAATTTGAATGAAAACTGACAGTGCACGTCCAAGATACTGCATAAAAAAAACAAGATCCAATTGCCAAATAAATCGTCATGTACATGTATCCTAACATGTATGATCTATGTACTAAATTTGAATGAAAACTGACAAAGCATGTCCAAAATACGACATTTTCAAAAAACAAGATGGCTGCCAGTCGGCCATCTTTGAATCGAATCGCTAAATGTGCATATGTCCCACATAAAGTACTAGGCACATGCAAAGAATGAACAGAATCGGTCCAAGGGATTCTGAGATATGACTCCGGGCGGACGCACGGACGCACAGACGCACGGACGGACGGAGACCGAATTATAAGTCCTAATAACTAATAACGAGGAATGTGTACTTCTTAAATACTTCTACTCGTGTGACCTTTGATTTAGTGATACGTACTTTTACTCTCGTGAAACAAATTATATTGTATGCTGAAAACGACAACTTGGAAGACTCAACAAGAAGCACTATTAATACTCAGCCACTCCTATCGCCGCTTGAAACAGTTTCTCTTTCAGTGTTAGCACCACTACAGCCCCGTAATGTTTCTGGTTGTGACTGACAGAGTGACTGGTTCATAAGTAATGATGATTTGAATAATCAGCGCGGTTTTAATCATCAATTCGCGATTCAAATCACACATGACACGTGCATATGACTTATTCAGGTCAACGATCCTAGTTTTGTTTTATTGGCATCTACTAGTAATTAACTTGTAGTAAATAGAATAAATGTACTTTCCCATGTGTGTAATATCGTACGGTCGATACATTTAGTGGTCAGCCTTGGTGCAAACGTTGTGAAATAATTCATTTGGAGTATCAAAGGAATTATTGTGATACCCTTCCCATCATGCCTGCTGTACATGAATGTTTCCACTACATGTCCTTAAACATATTGGTTGTCGATTTTTGACTTTTTCCTAAAGCAAAAACCTAAATAATTTAAAAATAAATAGTATTTTATCTGACCAAATAAACTCAATAAAATTAGAAGAGTTTAAAAAAACATTGTTGAATTTTTCGGATCCAATATTTTCTAATTCGTTGTAATGTCCTATCACATGCAACACTTAATAATACTTGTTTACCGGGATCGTTGTTATTAATACAATATATAATTATTGTTGCTTATATTTAAAAATATATACAACATATAATTTTCAATTTATAAAAGTCAATTAACTAATTTTAAAAGGTGATCCACGATTTATGTACTCCTGAGTAGACTGGGATTCTTAGTATGTCGGGGTTATGTCATACATGGCCCGGGTTTATAGTTTACAGTAATTCGAGGGATTTATTCCGATTTTGTAAGTTATAGTTAGTTACTAGTAGTTGTGAAACTAGACACGGAAGTATTTTAAAGGAGTCAAAATCGTAAGCCATGAAAATGACCGAGTCCTTTTGTATTCCCCTATTTCTACTGGGAATCTAGTGAAATATTTAACATTTCCATCTTTCAAACAAATGAAAAAAAATGCTACGTTCACACGACAGCATTGTATCGGAGTCTTACGGCTCGAACCAGCAAAAATGGCCGTGTATACGCGTTCGGCTCGGCCTGCTCGAGCCAAGTTCGTCTCCAATAAACCCTCGGGCCGGGTGGAATTGTGATAGGGTTGAGCCCCGACATGGTCCAACCGTGTATGCGCATCGGGCCAAACAATCAGATCACGCCCTCAATCATCTTCTTCAAGTAACCTCTCGTTTTAATTATGCCGGAGACAGCATCGTTGGTAATTTCACGCAATTTCCGGCTTGACGAAGAGGTACGCGCCCTAATATCTATTTGGCAGATTAAAAAAAAATACTGCGACAAATTGAGAGCTCAACGGGAAACAGAAAAATGGCATACGAAATAGTATGACCAAAATATGAAAGATCCAACAGATCCAATGGAAATTGAAGAAACTTTTTAAAGACACCAAAGATAAAAATCATAGAAGTGGTCACGGTATGGTGACGTGTTTCTAGTAGCTTTAGATTGACAACTGTTACACATATCACAACAGTAGAACAATTACAGTATTTGCATGACAATAACTTAAGCGTAGCTGCCGTGTTTGCTGTTTATTCGAGATACTACCGTAATACCTAAATCATAACACCACCATCAACAACAACACACAAAAAACAAGTGATTTGAACTTACCGGTATTATATTTTATTTACTTTTTAAATTCTTATTACTAACTTTATATTATATTTTATATTTTTGTATTGATTAATATTTCTATGCTATATACTGAAATAGTCTCCTGTTAATCGGTGGGAGGAGCAGTAGTTCTGATAGAATGCTGCTTTGTGAACATAACAAATATCATAGTAGCACTTTATTGTATCCCAAATGCTGCACATAATTATAACCATGAAATATAACCACAAACATATATGCTATTTAATTTTGACATTACGTCTTTTTTAATACTGTTCTCATTTCACATTTTAAACTCAGATTTGATACCATTGTTGAGTTAAGACAGACTTTAACTCTCTCAAGAAATGGAAAACAAATAAACACGCGAGTGTCATACTTAAAAGGAAAGTATATTTTCTTACCTACTATAAATGACTGTGTCTGGCTGCCAAAGTGATTCAATAGGAAGTTGAATTTCGTTGATTCCATTGAAATCATTCGGATCCCATGTTAGGTATTCGTCCACCCATTGCTGCGAAGTAAACATGATATTGATGTAATATAAAGATGTTTGAATAGACACGATTGTATTGTGCAATTATTTATTAGCGTTTGTCGATTGTCGTACTTCATCGGTCACCGGTTTCAGTGAAGTCAGCAATGACTTCAGTTATATTTGAATACGTCTACACTTAATGACTTCACGTAGACTGCTTTTGGGAAAATTTACTTCGATTTTACTTTCCTCAAACTTCAAACTCGTTGCTCGTAATGTTAATTTCAATTGTATTCAATCGTGAAAAATACGATCTGCTCGAGTATGAAGATTTTAATAATCGTCTGGCCACACAATGCGAAGATGAACAATAGTAAAATAGTATACTGAAAGCATTGTAGTTTGATGTAGGAAACTTATAAATGCTAGATTGTAGTAACTTTCTCAAACTATCTTCTTATGTTGGTTTACAATTACTCTCAACCTTCGTTACATTTTAATAGTCGGCATTTGGTGTAGAAGCAATGAAACAGAACATAGTATAATTTGAATGTGTCTATCCCCGGATATCAACGTGTATTTCCACGCGCGGGGATTTGGTATGTTTAACATAATGCCATTTCAGATAACCCACATGATTTAAAATCGATTGACGATATTTATTAAAACGGTAATTGTACGTGTCGTATTACTGAGAATAAGAACGAAAAACAATCATAGCGTGGACCACTCGATGAAATTAACACCGCTTATCAGAGGTATTTCCTGCAGCATTTAAAATTTGAAGATCGAATTACATATTTCCGCGATCTTTCCAGGATAATATAATTCTAGTAATCAATAATCACATGTATTCGTAATCGACGTGTGGAACAAAATTATAAACAAGACACGTCACTGAACTAATGTGAACATAAATGCAATATTTTACAAATTTGATATATACTTTAGCATAATTTACCAAGAAACATATCAAAGAGTAATTCTTTTGTATTTCATTTTCACAGTTCTTGAGCTGTGTGCTATAACGCATGTATAGAGACAGGGATTAAACGTGTTAAAAATTGAACTGTGATTCAGACATTGTCTAAAACACTCGAACGACATGTACACATATGAATTGCACGAAACCTTGGTAACGTTGTAAGTCGTACGTTCGTGTCTCGGATTATCTTGGGTGTGTCTACATAGCGCGTTAAAATTTGCATATAACATTAGCCCGTAACAAAGTTGTGATAAAGGAAAGAGTGGTATAAACAAGGAGGGGGGGGGTAAAAGACCAGGAGGGGTGGTAAAAGAAAAGTTATATAACATTTTATTATTTAATAATTTATTAAAATACATAAGTTTGTCCAACTCCCTGTGGTTTGAGCCTGGAAATAACCACAGTCAGCTGGCGTACAAGTGATAATATAATAAATGCGATTATTTTCACCGATATTATATGGGGTAGCCATCTTGAACACTGCTTGAAACTACAAAATGTAAATAGTCAAGTTGAGAAACATTTTCCTACAAATCAGGGAGAAAATAACAAACTTTCACATAAAAAAGATCCGTTGGGGTCAAATTAAGCCGACCGCTAAAAAAAAAAAAAAAAGTCATTCGTCATTTTTACGTGGATACGAAAGAAATAGAACACTTTCCCTAATATATTTGAAAGCGAAATCGCCACCCAACTGTAAAACCGTCGCTGATTAGCTCCTCGAGTAAGACGATCGTCCCCTACTGTTATATAGATTCGCCTTAAGTGGACGTGATCACAAGACGGCGCCAGCGAAATTCGAAAGCCAACCGTTTAGTCAAAACCCTAGCAGTTAACCAATTCGCTAGCGAGTTTGCAAATTGGCTGCCCCAATACTTCTGAGACTTGGTGTAAAATGTGAAAGTCGTCAACCTCGCTGCAATATATTATGGTCACACCAGTGAACAATTGCAAAAAAAAAGTGTCATGTGATTTTTGTTGTATTGAATCGCCCATCTGTAATAATATCTATATCTACACATATTTTCCAATTTTCTCTGTATATTATTTAACCTTTGAACCCAATCTATGCAGACACAATCGGAGACATATGTTTGCTCAACATACTTTCCAAAAACAAAACAAAGACTTTTAGACGAAACATTGGCTTCTGGTTTGGTTCTTACAGTTAAAACATCTAGTATATCTGTCGTTATGTCGTTTAAACATTAAAATACATTACCGTGTACCATGGAATGCACGGTATCATCAATCGATGCACTGGATGTGCAAACCACGTCTGGTTTAGTATTGAGACAAATTGTTTACAATGGACGCAACATTAGCTTGCTCGCTGCAATGACGCATATAAACACGTGTCGACATACACGAGGGATACACAAAACCTCGCAATAATTAATATGATTAAACGTTTACCTGAGCCAACCAACTCTTCAGTGTTATTACTTGATTTTTTTCATCCTGTGAATTGAAAAACGGGATGATAATTAGCGAGGTGCATTATAAGTAGGATACTTCTTAATGGAAATGGAAATGTTAAAGTAATCGTTCGTGATTAGGGAATATCGCCTACATAGCCTTTAGCAATGTAGTGTGTTTTATAAAAAGTGTAACTCGTAAATAAACTGTACCATGTCAACAATGCTAATTTAAATGAATGACTTGTTAGGAAATAGGATATCGTAAATTAGAAGTTGGGGCGCCCCATAATAGCTGACGTTTGGTAATAAGAGATGTCGTTTGGTACTACTTGATATGAGGATGCGAAGACACATCCATGAATTGTTATTATAGCTATACAAACCACATTCAATATGATAGCACAGAATGGCCACACAATGGGCAGACTGACCACCTTTCTCTCTAATATGGAAGTGACAACAGACTAGTTGCATTATATTGCATGTAATCGTGTGAAAACCGCTATGGCGCAACATTCTGACCCTTGAAGTAATATAAGTTAGACAATTTTGGTTCCAACCCAACAAGAGATAATCATCGTACCGCTATCAAAGCTTCAAGCTACGAACACCTACGTATCGGTCATCACTATTCCCGTGTACTAACTCAGCGCCAGACTGTCTCCTTACCACAAGCATTAAATTAATTTTCATCAAACATTGTCAAATTATTTTATTTGTTGCTTGAATGTTGCTTGAATTCTACAGTAAATACACCAAATCCTATAAAAATGTTATTATATTTAATGCATTCGGTAAATACGGACTGTTCTATTGCAGTTTATCTAACCGAATATCGATGTACGTGCGCCACCTACGCCCTGACATATTTGCCGCATCCCACCGTCGAGCCGATTATCATCCTCGCTGAGTAGCACAACGCATCCATAAGTCAACTACAAAACGGAACAAACCCATATCTTTGCGGACGAATGTATTAAATATTCTTAAGCTAAGGAACAATATATACGCCTACATTATTGTATAACACATAACTTCTATGAATATTATGATTTTAATCCAAGGATTTGCAACACGACACAGGAAATGTTAACGATGTGCAACAAAAGAAACGTGGAATAGCTGATGTTTACTAACGTCACTGAATTTTTCAAACGAGAGGCACATCTGCTCACTCCGAATAAATTGGCAATAATGATGTTCACGACAATTATTATCTGTTCTGACTTTCTTCTTTCAAAACGTAAAATAATAAGCGTTTTCATTCAGAACATAAATAACACTAATCCTACATAAGATTTAGTATTTCGAGGCGAAAATAATATCTTTTATTTATCAGTTTATCTTTATTACTTTATATTTATATATCATATTATAATGAGAGGTACAGAACTATGTTGAATGTTAGGCGACAATTACACATACTGTTCGAGTATAACCATATAACACTTGTTGTATGAAGCCCTCAAGTGAGAAAGACGTCGACATTTTTTATAGCGATGCGATGTACTGCGATGCAGCGCGGCGCAGAACGGCACGGTACAGTGTAGTGTAGTGTAGTGTTGTGTAGTGTGGCGTGGCGTGGCGTGGCGTGGCGTGGCGTGGCGTGGCGTGGTGTAGTGTAGTGTAGTGTAGTGTAGTGTAGCGTAGCGTAGCGTAGCGTAGCGTAGTGTAGTGTAGTGTAGCTGTATGTAGTGTAGTGTAGCGTAGCGCAGCGCTGTGCAGTGTAGTGTAGTGTAGCTGTATGTAGTGTAGTGTAGCGTAGCGCAGCGCTGTGCAGTGCAGTGTAGTGTAGTGTAGTGTAGTGTAGTGTAGTGTAGTGTAGTGTAGCACAGAACACATTACATTACTTACCATGTCAATGAGTTGTATAGGTGTCATTCTATGTGTAACTTGTAGCGTTGTTGATTGATTTCTGACAGGTCGTACGGGATGTGGAGGATACCTAGTCAACAAATACTCAACTAACATCACACCGGCATCTAATCCATCAGAATTAGCTGTTAGTAACAAAGAACAAGTAAATATTATACTAATAGTATATTTGAATTGTGTTGATATTGAATTCAGTGCATGTAACTCCACTGAATCAACATGAAATCTATTCATGATTTCACACCATAGCCAATGTGTATTTTTACTGATAATTAGGATTTTTTCCTAATAAATCTTTTGTTTGTATGTTTATGACGTCATTTTTAGTCCCCGTTCGGACGCAGTCCGTAAACGGGGACTTATGTTTTGACCTCAGTGTGTGCGTGCGTGCGTGCGTGTGTGCGTGCGTGCGTCTGTACCTGTATCTTATAAATGCCTGGACCAATCATAATCAAACTTCACACATACACCATAATGATATTATACATATGCACATCAATTTGTTTCACGATCTGATTCAAGATGGCCGAATGGCGGCCATTTTTGTGCTAAAAATCATCAAAATCAAGCATTTCTCAGCTGTTTACAAATGGATTTTGTTCAATCTTGGTTATATACAATCTGATTAAAATCTGATGTAGTGCTTTAATTATTGTGGCTATAAACTTATTTTAATTTTATTTTTTATTACTTTTGTTATTAATGCCCTTTTATTTTATTATTTTACTTTGATTTTGATTTTGTGATTTTTTTTTAATTCTGCCCTACCTACATCTGATCCGACGCCTATGTAAGTCCCGTTCAAATCTCGCATAAGTAACAGCCAATCACAGCCCCCCTTTTATACAGGCTGTCGGTTGCTTACTTTTCAGTGTAGCGATACTCTACGGCAATCTTTCTGTACATTATATTTTGCTCACTTGAATAAACCATTAATAGAAAATTGCTAGTATATTTTTATTTGCAAAAGAAATTCCACAGCATTTTACAATTTTTGTCATTACATTGAATATTTTTTTCACTTCCAACAAATGTGTACACTTCCAGATACATCTTCGCCAACCAGGTTCGTTCATTCAGTCATCGCTTCATTTT